ATCCTGCCTGCGGTAATTTGCAGATTGTTCATATACTGTGCTGCCATCAAAAGGGCTGAGAGCTCTGCCTTGTAGTTAGAGCAAGTTCGTCCGGTGGGGGCTGCTAGGGACACAGTAGTGGCATCTGGGTGTTTTATGTAAACACCTGCCCCACCATTCGTAGTTGCCTCTTTTGCTGATCCATCCGTGTAGATTCTGGTCCAGCTGTCCTGTGGGAACATGTTGTTGAGGTGTTCCATAGTAAGTGCTTTCTTTACTAAAGCGGGCTCAGCATCTTTGTTTCCCAGGTTCGGGATGGATGTTGACACATTGAGTGTCAATAATTCGGAGTCCCAGAGATCGAAAGATAGCTCTTCAGGTATACATTGTTGGTTAAGTAGTGAAGATAATGACTTTCCAAATTCCTTAGTTAGATGGTTTAGGCTTGTGCGCTTTATTCGGTTTTTTATCCTGGCTGCCAATTTTTCGTGTAATGAGTGGTTTAGCATTCTCTTCATTTTTTCAGCATGTAGAATTGCTTTTGTCCTTCTTCTTTCTTCTAAGGGGATGATGTTGGCTGCCTTTTCCATTTCTACAATAGGTGTAGATTTTATGGCTCCCAGAATTGTACGCAGACTTCTATTTTGCGTTTTGTCTAGTATCTATTTGTTGGAATGGGCTGCTGTTATCCATGACGATGATGCGTATTCGAGAGTTGGTCTGACTGTGCCGGTGTATACCTGCTTCAAGATACGGATTATCAGTAAGTTGTGAAATGTTTTTTCCTTTGTTGCTTTTTCTGAAATTCATTACTTTTCTAAAGTTGATTAACCCTCTTTGTTAAAATTACTAGTTGTGTTGTGTACAAATTCCAGTCAAAGTTGTTAGCTTGTCTATTTGTATATCTGTCCAACTGCAAACTCTACATAGACAGGCCTCTGTTTATTAATCTGCTCCTTGTTGTCGCTGCCAAACATATCTTGATATTGATTTCTCAGTCCAGGGGTAGTCTGGTACTGAATTTCAGTCACTGCTCTTTAAAATAAAAACTATGATAATCAGACTGAAAAATTGAAAGAAGAAAGCATGAAAAATCTTAGGTAATCTTCTGCATTATGTTTTATGTAGTCTGATTGATGGTAATTAAAATAGAGCAACTGTATTACTTTTATTTACATTTCAGATCATTATTGATTGGTGTATCAATATTAGTGGACTACAAATGGACATTGTATGATCTGGATGAGGAGTCACAGGAGTATGCAGATTTGATTAAGACATGTCATCAAAGGGCAGCCGACAGAATCCTAGTAGGTTGTTTAAAGAATGGAGGCATCTACATCAAGCTTGGGCAAGGTTCGTACATTAATATCAATATCTGTGAGATGGCTTTTATTGTGATGCATCCCATTTTCTCTTCGGGTGTTTATAAATATTTCGGTTCTTTATTTATATCCTACCCCCAGATGATGTCAAAGGACAGTCCAACATTTTAGAGGGTCGTAAGACTGAGTTTCCTGGCTTTCTGGTGCTTTTAACAACCCGAAAACATCTATAACTGGCCCTAACCCCAACCAACCTACATCCCACGAGAGAGTGCAACCTAAGTCCTACGAATGCATGCAGCCTAGGTCCCACGACTGCATGCAGCCTATCTACCACCCGCGTTAGCGCAGTAGATAGGAGGCTCACTTTCAAATCCAGCTACGACTCGCTGCAGCCACAGTCGGTGTTGAAAACCGGGCGGTTCCTGGGGTTCACCCAGCCTCTAGGAAATAGATACCAGAGTGACACTCTGGGGTAAATGGAGGAACGTCGCTGTAGCTACAGAGTTGCGTGCGGACAGCGACACAGGCGGACAGTTTCTTATCAGCTGTCCGTACAGGTGGCAGAGCATTTATGGTTTATAACCAGTGACGCTGGTTCACATCTCCCGACTTTAAATTGTTTTACCTTTTTACCACCCCCTGAAATATCAGACCTTACTGTGGCCTGTGGATTTCCCCTTTTTAGAGTAGGATATTAACATAGCACCAATATTTCTTTGTGGTTGTTTTTCTTCTACACAGGATGTGGTATACTAATTAAGTTTCTTTCCATGGTTGTTAGTTGATAGATCTTCCTAACTCAGTTCATTTTCTGGCATTCCCTCCTGCCACAGTGTATAGCGCCTGACAACACTGGTTCTGCGTTACTTTTTTATTCTAACTGCATGGTGCACATATTTGGCCACACCCCTTTTAATTTGCTGTTCTTCTATTCCGATCATGGTTGCAGATTCATAGTCATAACTTTATTCATGAAAATGTCTAAACTTCTCTTAGAGCGTTCACTTTAGCAGCCTGGTTCTTGTACATCTGACATTACAGCACTTGAAACTTACCATTTTGTATGTGTGTTTATGTACAGTGGAGTTAAGAGCTGACATTACAGCACTTGGAACTTACCATTTTGTATGAGTGTTTTATGTACAGTGGAGTTAAGAGCTGACATCAAAGCACTTGGAACTTACCATTTTGTATGTGTGTTTATGTACAGTGGAGTTAAGAGCTGACATCAAAGTACTTGGAACTTACCATTTAGTATGTGTGTTTATGTACAGTGGAGTTAAGAGCTGATATCACAGCACTTGGAACTTACCATTTTATATGTGTGTTTATGTACAGTGGAGTTAAGAGCTGACATCACAGCACTTGGAACTTACCATTTTATATTTGTGTTTATGTACAGTGGAGTTAAGAGCTGACATCACAGCACTTGGAACTTACCATAAATTTATTCTTTCTATTGTAGCAGCCATGCAGAGTTCCAGTTTTGTTGGTACCAATAGCAGTCTGATTATATATCTGTCTAGCCTTTCCTGTGAGTGTTGAGTGTTAGCCAAATCTCCTGGTCACTCCCCACTCATCATTCTCTTTAGACTGATGATCCGTTTCTGCTTCTGCGCTGTTCATTCACTGTCAAAGGACCTCGACCGTTCTAGCTTATCATGCATCAGATTACCACTGAGTGGTGCAGTGCCAGTCTGTCTGTCTGCGTATTAATTTCTCAACTTTCCTGGATGCCCTGGAAATAATATCCAGAGGATACTAACTACTCAGGATCTTTGAAGCAGTGCTTGCCACTCTGCATGGAGCATACCTGTCTCTACTTTTCTCAGCATGCTTTATGAGTCTGTCACAGTCATGACATGCGTGTGCTGCTGGTTCTCAAGCCAGTGGATGGCAGCTGATTGTGTCCAGAGGGAAGCATTCTATTGCCACATGTCAGCAAGTCAAGTCATATGTGAGTGTATAATAAAAGTGTTGAATTTGAGAGGATTGACTTTTTTATGGCAGATTTGATTTTTTCTAGCTCGGTCTCTTTCTGTAGAATGATTAGTCACCTGCCAAGAGCATCATACAGAGCAATTTACAGGCTGTCTGCTGTCTTCCATACATCATGTTCTAATTTATACAATAATAGAACTAAAAACAGTTTTCAGCTGATAACATCAGATATCCCGATAGACAATGATTATTAAGTCACTGAGTTCACCAAGAGAGCAAACAGAAATGTGAACTTGAATAAATAACGCTAATCTAAATTTCCAAATATGAGAATAAAGATAAATGTGTAGTTTACCATAACAGCAGGGTGACTGATCAAATTTATGAGTAGTTTGAGAAACCCATGTTTTATTTTCTGTTTTAGGTTTGGTGTCAATGAACCATATTCTCCCTGTAGAATACACGAGGACTTTAGTTGTTCTTCAGGACAAAGCCCTGTCTCGCAAACCACATGAGGTAAGCCATTACTTTCCTCGTCACTGTTTCTCTTCATTTTCATAAAAGTTATTCATACGGTAGTTTAGTTCATAACGCAGTATATTTTGTTATGTTTTTGTTATGCTATCACAATCAGCGTCTTTGTACATTGGGCATCTCCGTGCGTGCTCAGTCCTCCGATGCAGAAGCTACTCCAAGGTACCTCTACTGATTGTTCCCATGAGTAGTTGGTTATGGTATCTCCTGTCTTTACCTTGTAGACAGGATTGACGTGCTTCACCAAGCTTAACTCCTCGGTCATACAGTCCTGTTAGCATCAGAGATTGGCCATTATCCCCCAGCCTAGTCTGTACATAGTTGATGATATCAACTGTGTCAATGCTTCTTCCCAATTGCATTGGTGCTTTTCTTGCCAGCTCTTTCATTACCATTTTCTCCTGCTTGCCCAGGTGTGTACATCTAGAAGATCAAGGTTAACTGTGACTTCTGAAAGCTTTCTACCCATTCAGTGTGTAGACTGTAGCAATTTTCTGATGTATGTGTCTGAAACAATAACCTCATGTGTGGCTGCTTGTTCTGCTACCCATGCGAGTTCTCTGGAAGCAGCACTTATCTTCATGGTCATGCTTGACGTAGTCGTCTGGTAGGCACCGCTATCCTCTTTTATTGTTTTTTCCCAATTCTTTGTGCTGTGTATTCCCATGCTGATCTTGACCCGTGCTTCACTGACCCATCTGTCATGCATATCTACTGGTGTATATTTGTGTGACAGTGTCTATATATGTGTGTGCACATGTGTATGCCTACACATATTTCAGGATGGTTAGGTGGTCAGTCCCCATTGGCAAAGAGATTTGTGAAAATTTACACGAGTTCTCAGTTCAACCCAGTGTGAAGCAAGTACCTGGGAATGGTTAGCACACTGACGGACTTCCTCACCAGCATGATTCTTTGTCATAGGCTCGGCTGTTTACACACATTAGCAACATTCATTGCCATGGTCAGGGCTGTATACATGTACCAGTAACATTACTTGCTACAGTCAGAGCTGTATACATTTACCAGCAACATTCCTTGCTACAGTCAGAGCTGTATACATTTACCACCAACATTCCTTGCTACAGTCAGGGCTGTATACGTATACCAGCAACATTCCTTGCTACTGTCAGGGCTGTATACATTTACCAGCAACATTCCTTGCTTCAGTCAGGGCTGTATACATTTACCAGCAACATTCCTTGCTTCAGTCAGGGCTGTATACATACACCAGCAACATTCCTTGCTTCAGTCAGGGCTGTATACATATACCAGCAACATTCCTTGCTACAGTCAGGGCTGTATACGTATACCAGCAACATTCCTTGTTACAGTCAGGGCTGTATACGTATACCAGCAACATTCCTTGCTACAGTCAGGGCTGTATTCATATACCAGCAACATTCCTTGCTACAGTCAGGGCTGTATACATATACCAGCAACATTCCTTGCTACAGTCAGGGCTGTATACATTTACCAGCAACATTCCTTGCTTCAGTCAGGGCTGTATACATATACCAGTAACATTCCTTGCTACAGTCAGGGCTGTATACGTATACCAACAACATTCCTTGCTACAGTCAGGGCTGTATACGTATACCAGCAACATTCCTTGCTACAGTCAGGGCTGTATACGTATACCAGCAACATTCCTTGCTACAGTCAGGGCTGTATACGAATACCAGCAACATTCCTTGCTACAGTCAGGGCTGTATTCATATACCAGCAACATTCCTTGCTACAGTCAGGGCTGTATACATGTACCAGCAACATTCCTTGCTACAGTCAGGGCTGTATACATTTACCACCAACATTCCTTGCTACAGTCAGGGCTGTATACATATACCAGTAACATTCCTTGCTACAGTCAGGGCTGTATACATGTACCAGCAACATTCCTTGCTACAGTCAGGGCTGTATACGTATACCAGTAACATTCCTTGCTACAGTCAGGGCTGTATACATGTACCAGCAACATTCCTTGCTACAGTCAGGGCTGTATACGTATACCAGTAACATTCCTTGCTACATTCAGGGCTGTATACGTATACCAGCAACATTCCTTGCTACAGTCAGGGCTGTATACATGTACCAGCAACATTCCTTGCTACAGTCAGGGCTGTATACATGTACCAGCAACATTCCTTGCTACAGTCAGGGCTGTATACATATACCAGCAACATTCCTTGCTACATTCAGGGCTGTATACATATACCAGTAACATTCCTTGCTACAGTCAGGGCTGCATACATATACCAGCAACATTTCATGTCACAGTCAGGGATGTATACATATACCATCAACATTCCTTGTCACATAAAGGGCTGCATACATAAACTAGCAAGATTCCTCAAACATAGAAATGCAGATAACAACTAGTGGCAGTGGCATGAAAGACATTAACAAACATCTGAAAAATGTAGCTTTTATTCTTGTCTATTTAAAAAAAATTATTATTGTATACTAATAAATTTATTGCTCTCTTAGGTAGAGCAGTTATTCTTAGAGGATTTTGGAAAGAAGCCATTAGAGATGTTTGCTTCTTTCGATGAGAAGGCTATTGCTGCGGCTAGTCTTGCTCAAGTTCACTTGGCCACAACTCATGAGGGACACAAGGTTGCAGTCAAGGTTTGCTGCTTATGTCTGTCCTGATTTTAAAGATTAGTTTGAAAGCTGATATGAAAGACATGTAATTGAAAAGTCAAACAGTGTGAAAAGGACAACCAAGACGGAATTATGACCTAGCTATCTAGAGCTTAGTGGAAGTAAAACATTACATTAAGGAAAAAGTAGTTTTTATAGGTGCCTGCCTAGATTATGTTCTATGTTCTCACATCCTAGATATCTGCCTAGATTATGTTCTGTGTTCTCACATCCCAGATGACTGGCTGGATTATATTCTGTGTTCTCACATTCTAGATATCTGCCTAGATTATGTTCTGTGTTCTCACATCCTAGATATCTGCCTAGATTATGTTCTGTGTTCTCACATCCCAGATGACTGGCTGGATTAAATTCTGTGTTCTCACATCCCAGATGATGATTATATTCTGCCTACTTTGCATGTTGTGTGTTCTACATCCCAGATGACTGCTACATACTTTTTCTGTTGTGTTTCTGTGACTGCCTACTTTCTGTTCTGTGTTTGAATGGCCAAATGTAAGACGGGCCTGCGTGCCCAATTTGTTACCCTATTAAAGTTTGTTCGTTTGTTCTAAAAGCTCACATCAAAGTGATGATTCTCTTCTCACATCCTAGATGATTGCCTAGATTCTGTTCTCACATCCTAGATGACTGGTTGAATAATGTTCTGTTTTACCACATCACAGATTATGTCTAGATTATGTTAAATTTTACCACATCACCGAAACTGTCCAGATTATGTTCAGTTTTATCACATTACAGATAACTGTTTGTGGTCTATTTTACCACATCACAGATGAATGTCTAGAGTATTTTCATCCCAGATAACTGTCTAGATTATGGTCTATTTTACCACATCACAGATGACTGCCTAGATTCGTTTCTGTGATGGTAGTGGCTGTAATTGTATTTTAAAATATCAGTACACAAAAAACAAAAAATTGAGAGCAACATTATTTAATGATTTGCCTACCTTTTTACTTTGTTTTTCTTATCAGATTTAAACCACATTAAATGTAAACACTGTCCTATTGTAAATGTAAACTAGAATGCTCCCACCGTCCTATTTGTGAGTCACAGTTGCACAGCGGGATCACGCCCACGTGAAGACAGATTTGTATAATTGACCTAGGGCTCCCAGGTTGACCCATCCTAAAATGGGTGTCAGAAAATGTCCTAGAAAGTAAAGGTGACAGATTTGATGTTGACCACATAATCCACAGCCTACAAATTTGGCTATAAAAATATAGATTTGGCACCATATGCCTGATTAACCATTGGGGTGAAAAGGGTCTTTTACATTTACTGTTTTCACTAACATTTACGCTTCTTTTTCATTTAATGTGTTTTTTCTTTTTTTCTTTTTATTTCACTTAACTGTCAGAGGATGGTATTGCAAGAACAATTTCTGGTACAGTGTGACAGATAGCAGGCAGACTGTTAAAGCTATGAAGTGTTGTTGGTTCTGGACATGATTTGCTTAAGCTGTAAATATATATAGACTGGAACCCCCAATTTTATTGCCTAAGCTACTGAGTTAAGTGCTCAGTACAACACTATGAGCTGTGCAGTTCATTTGGAATGCCTTTTCTCTGTGTACACCACCATTTGTTTTGAGATATTCAGAAAATGACTGGTGGTGGGTTTGCGCTCAGACTGGCTAAGTGCCTTCTGCATTAATTTTGCAAGTATATGGCCAGCTTGTTGTGACTGACTACTTTCATCAGTGACAAATTATAATTATGGTGGTGACAGTTGGTGTTGGCACCTCTAGCAGCTGCCTTGTACCTTTACTGCATGTGCAAACTAATTGCTTGTTCACATGCTTTTAAATGGGGCAGCGAGACGGCTTTTGTTTGATTTTCACTGGCACAGGAAGGGAGCACACGGTTTGCAATTATGGACCTGTTTGCATTGAAGTAGAAACCTCAATTTGTGACTGTTGCATGAACAATATGTGTTGGTTCTTATCCATGACTGTCGGTTTTGTTGTCCAGGTCCAGTATATAGACTTGAGAGATAGATTCTCTGGAGACATTAGGACCTGTGAGATTTTACTTCAATTGGTTGGCTGGGTGCATCCTAAATTTCAGTTTGCTTGGGTGTTGCAGGTAAGTTAAAATATATGGTCTCTTTGCAATCACAGGTTTAATATAGATGTAAGGGCGTATTCATTTATTAGTGGAATGGCATATTAAAAAAATTGTGCTGATTATATGTTTTGGTCCATTTTATAAACTGTAAGTTAGATCATATGCAAGTACAATTTAAGTGGTATATATTCTATAGGCACTGAAAAGCAAAGGGCGTATAGGTATATAAAACTAAATCTATATTGTATACATCAGTCGGCACGTGGTGTACCATGCGTCAGTATCCTGCTGGCCGCCTTTACTTCACAGGACTTTACCTGGTGCCCATTTTAGAATGAGTTGATATGTGAGCCAAGGTCATTAAAAAAAATCTGACGATGCACATTTTAACCCATATATTTTGGTCGGGCCTGCAGACAAGCGTCTAGCTGCGGCTATAGACATTACGTTCCAGATATGTACATTAGAATATTATCCATGCCACATTTAGTTTAAAAACAAAAAGTTTTTTTTTATATATCCTGTTCCTGACTTTGCAAACCAACCCGAGCTTTTATTGGCTGTTGTGCAGTTTTACTTTTGCAATTTTACATTCAGCAGCTTGGCAGTAATTTCTCTATGGTACACTGCTTATATTATTGTAAAAATCAGCAGAAAGCAGTGTGTTATCAGATTACCTGCAACTGATTTGTCGGGACTGGAAGGTTCACTGCCCTCAAGGCACACATGCTGAGACATGTAACAGAATTGTATAAAATTGTATGTCAGTGTTCAGAGGCATTAAGCAGAGGTACTTAGTTGGTATTTCCAAGACTTGTCCGATGTGCAGTAAGGATAATCTGTTTATGAGCTAACTAACTAACTAACTTAGTTGGTATTAAACAGAGATCAGATCTTCAAAGCAGCATTATGAGTCCATCATGCAGTTTTAACTGATTCTGAACCCACTGGTTCCCACGATCGCATGTTATGCAATCCGCCAACATTTATGTCTGGCTGCCGGGATCGCACCCTCCATGGTCATAACTTTGGATGCTCGCTGCCATATTAAAATTGCACCTTTGTTTTAAATAAAGTTAAATCTATTAGTCCATTCATTTCTCTATGGTTATTTAAGGAAACTGTTTGGTAGCGCTTAAGGTGAATTTTTCACGAATATTTTTTTTTTGCTGAGCTCCCATGTCGTTTACGTGTTGGGCACATTTTTTCATAAATAGGCTGATCATTTGGGCTGGCACGGTGGAACAGTTCGGAGACTATTTATGATGCAGTGGGATGTTATCTTTATTGTTTTAAATTAGAAAGTGAAGTGAAGATATTTCTGAGCAGTTTGATGACTGTAACTTTCATAATTCTTACGTACTGCCATCAAAAACATAGTCAAAACTGGAAGACAATGTGTAGCTTACAGCAGTGGTGGAGCAGTTGGAGGTGGGTGTGTTATGTTACATTAATTTATGCAAAATGTTTCATGTATGTGCTTGAGGTGTGTATTGTTAGATGCCTCTGTTAGTATAGATTGTGTACATTACAGTTCTGTGGCTTAGAGATTAGTGAAAATCATTTCACAGTGCCATCCTTGATGTTTACCCGGGTGCTAATCCTGCGATGCACATTTTGGGAAAAGATGTTTTTTGTGGATTTTTTAGTTTGATCATTCAGTCATACTTTAACAGAAGTTGTTGGTGCAAAATGGCAGATAGCCACTAAATTTGGAGAATTTTTATTTCACAGGTAGGCAGCAAAGTTCTCATCCAGGATTCTTTCAGTTAAAAAGAAAACATTAAGGGTGTCAGAATATTTTTTGGTTGCCTTTTTTGCTCCAGTTTACAACCACATGATGATGATGTAAAACAGAATTATGCCATTTTAATTTTATTCTTAAAATTTGTTCTACATTCAATTTGGTACAAAAATGCAAAATGTTATAAGTTCATGTAAAATTGTTGTGAAGCTTTGGCATTTTTGTTCGTCTATATTGCTGTCAGAAAAAAAAATCAGTTACCTTTTTTGCCAAAATCTGCAGCCACATTATGATGGTGTAAAACAATATTACACCATTTTTTTTTTATTTGTGGAGATTGTTGTCCGTTCACTTTGGTGCAAAAATGCAAACAATTATGAGTTTATGTTAAATAACTATGAAGTTATGGCATTTTTGTTAGTCTATGTTGCTATCAGAGAAAACAATTTTGTTGTTGCCTGTTTGTGCACCCATGTACAGCTGCTACGTGATGATCATAATGTCTAACAAGATTGTGCAGTTTTTATTCTTGGAAGTTGTTCTCCATTCAATTTGGTGCATAAAAACAAAATATTATGAGTTTATATCAAATAGTTGTGAGGCTATGACATTTTTAGTAGACACTAAAAAATTGGTATCTCGGAAGGTACAAGGGTTTTACAGGCTTGGTAGTCAGTGTGTTATTAGTAAAAAGGGGACTCAAAAAAGCTTACACAGGCTTGAAATATGTCCTTCAAGCCATCTTTTGCCTTAAACAGGATAGAAGCTACTAGCAGCAGTGCAGACTTTAGAGCACATCTTTCAAGTCTGCCCAATATGTCAGACAGACACTAGAAATAGGGTCTCCCTTTGAAGACAAAATATGAGACCTGTTACACAACTTTGTTCATATAACTCGTGCTGGAATATGTAACTCATGCTAAAATAGATGTATAGCGAGTGTTGATTGCTGGAAAAGATGAAGTATCTCAAGAGAAATTTATGTCAGTTAAAGCTTGGAATGTGTCAATACACAGGTTCTGTACAGTGTTACAGTACTTTATCTGCTATTTACTTCGCATTACTTCTGTGGCTTAGAGGCTGGCGAATGCCTTTAATAATTTAATGATCCTCAAATACTTGAGCTTGATTTTTGCAGCTGATTGCTTATTAAAAAAATCAAATACTTGTATGGTTTTCAGACATTGATACGAAAGTCCCACCTGGAATAAATTGGAACCTCGCTGCTGAATATTCCTGAAGACAGCAGTGGGTAAATGGAGCCTACCTTCAGTGTGGAGACTTCATGCTGTTTATTATTTATTAATGTTAAAAGTATATTTTTACTTTAGCTTATATTTAATATAGGAAATTGTTCTCTTCTACAGTTGTATTCAAACTTTTTGTTTTTTTAAACAGGATCTTAAGAAAACATTGAAACAAGAACTGGACTTTGAGAATGAAGGAAGGAATGGTGAACGATGTAGTAAAGATTTGGGCCATCTGAAGTTTGTGTATGTACCAAAGGTCTACTGGGACATGACAAGCAAGGTATTATCACCTAATAAACACTTGTAAAATAACATAATTAGTATCTCAACCATTTTGCCCTGAGAAAAAAAAAAGGGTCATGATCCTGTTGGAATTCATGAAAAATCTTTATGAAAAAAAAAACATAATTTATGCAGGTCAATAAATAAATAAAAACAATGTATTTATCTACATGTACCAAAGGTCTACTGGGACATGACAAGCAAGGTATTATCACCTAATAAACACTTGTAAAATATCATGATTAGTATCTGAACCATTTTCCCTCGAGAACAACAAAAACAAAAAACAAAAGGGCATGATCTTGTTAGAATTCCAGAAAAATCTGTTTAAAAAACAAACATAATTTATGCAGGTCACTAATAAATAAATGTAACAAATTTATTTATCTACATGTACCAAAGGTCTGCTGGGACATGACAAGCAAGGTATTACCACCTAATAAACACTTGTAAAAATAAGATGATTAGTATCTTAATCCTTTTGACCCATAAGCCTAAAAAAAAGTCATAATAATCCTGTTAGAATTCCAAAAAAATAATTTTTTTTTCAGCAGTTTAATAATAAATAAACAAACATGAACAGAGTAAAGCTTTACATCACCCAGACCTAAAAACGCCTACGTCGATTGGGTGACTCATGTCTTGATGCTATCACTGAGGCTTATGGGAAAATCTCATCAAATTGGCTTTATAAAAGCCATTTAACTCATATGACACACCCCCACACCCCCTCCTTTTTTCCATTCCTTTCTCAGATAACTTTTGTAGTTAATGTTTTCAAATCCTGACCTCCTAAATGTTTGTGCAGACGTGAAAACATACAGTAGCATAAACCATACATGTCATAAACAGGTCAGTATAAACAAGTCAGAAAAGGGACATTTACATTGAATTGAACCCACCAGAGGTATCTGGTTTTCCGGCTTCTTAGGGTGAAAGGTACATTTATGAACCCCCCAAAAAATCCTTGATTTAGTAATTGATTTACTGGTATAATTTTGTTATGATGTTGCTTAATGTTGTAAAAAAAGGAAAGATACATTTGATTAATTATTCGGCCATTTGTTTCCCAATGGAATGTAGGCTCTCAACCAGCTCTCGCCAAATTGTCAAGGCATGCAGATTATAACTGTGGCCATGAAAACAGCACCTTTTAATGAACTAGAAAAGGTCACAGGTCTGCAACCAACAGAGGATAGGAGAGGCAACAGAGCCCAGCAACAAGCAGAAAAATTTAGAAGGCTGATAGATCACCCTATATATCAAAGGTTTACATCGTCTAGGAAGGGGAAGACTAAAGTGAAAAAACTTTGTAGAGATTGCAAAAACTAAGATCCCGTACTTAACTTATCGACATCCAGACCCGTCCACATTACATACAGGCTCCCTGCTTAGAGACAGTAGCACCTGCCTAAGTTGATATAAAATATTTCTGGGACTGCGGAAAAAAAGGAATATCATATTAAACTACATAGAAGAACAATACCCAAGTAACACCAGGACTTGTGCATATACAGATGGATCAGCAAAAAAACAACAGAAAATGGAGTTAAGGAAATTGTCCTGAATTTGAAAAATGGATCAAAACAAACAGTCAGTTGCAACCGGAAAGTTCTCAAGTAATATTCCAGCAGAAGCAGAGGCCTTGAGAACTGCAGCAGAAATGCTTATGTCGGAGAAAAATAATGAGGAATACCTAGCTATCTTCACGGATGCAAAGTCAGTTGTCACAGCACTGTTGAGCAAAAATGATACAGAACTAGCAGACCTTAGAGCTGCACTCCATGGACTGTCAAAAAGCAAAAAGAGTTATAGTACGATGGATTCCATCTCATTGCAGCATACCTGGAAAGGAAGAGGCTGACAGATTGACAAAGGAAGGTAGAAGACTACCCCAGCCAGAAATATAACATAAGAGGTTTACAAGAAGTACATATAATACTAAATGGGATTCTGAACTCCAGGCTACTAGAAGGACGATACATACTACCAACTTGGCCGAAGAGAACAAGAAGGGATCTTTAGACTCCGCACAGGACATAACAGGCTGAAACACAACTTGTTCAATAAACTAAAGATAGGAGACACTGATGATTGTACCTGTGGAAAGAGTAAAATGCCGGCTAAACACTTGCTGCAAGAGTGTCCAACATATGCAGAAAAGAGAAAATTATTCTGGCTATATTCTGGATAAACCTCAAGTTGACTGCTGATTTCTTCAAATATATCCACATTGACATCTGAAGGTATAAGAAGAATAAAACTGTCTGGGATTCTCAGGGCGGATAGTCCCTAGAGATGCAGAGCTCGTAAACCACGATGCTGGAAGAAAATAAAACAGACCCATCTGTCCACATCGGCCACACAGGACATCTCCTTGGCATCTGTGTGGGAAATGTATAAAACTATAGTGGATGAGGAAGTCCACTGCAGTAAAAGTCTAACATGCAAAAGAAGCAAAGTAATCATTTTGTGGTGTAGGTAATTGAAATCCCAGGTCTGCAGGGTGTCTACCGTTGGCTACTAAAGACATAGCCCATGATGAATGAGATGTTCAATTTATGGGTGAGCCCTGTACCAGAGCACCGTGTATTAGGTCTGTATTTGTGGAAGCCTCCTTGGATGGTGGGGAATGCTCATGTTCTGCCCCTGCCTTCTCTTGAGGGCTGACCACCATTATGTGGCTTCTCTGGACCGGCCTGATGTGGGCCACCACCTGTGACCTGGGAAACAATGAGACTGCAGTGTCCCACAGAACTGACTAGGAAGGCAAACCCGGTCAAGAAATGCCCGCAGAAGTCAGATGTGTCAGCCAAAAAATGCAAATATCGCAGCCATGCTGTAAATGGACACAACACAATTACATCTTAGGATGAACTCAGAAGAATAAGAAGAAGTATAAGTTTTTCGATTTCCTTTGAGTTCCCAGTGCCTTGAAAACTCTTTGCCTTTTGAATTGATTTATGATTGATAATGTTTTATGTTCCTTGACATTTATTACATTTATTGTTGATACAACAGTTCTGTTCTTTCTCCACATTTATTATTAATACAACAGTTCTTTTCTTTCTCCACATTTATTATTAATACAACATTTCTTTTCTTTCTCCACATTTATTATAAAAACACAGTTCTGTTTCTGTTCAAATTTATTATTAACACAATATTCTATTCTTTCTCCATATTAATTATAAATACACAGTTCTGTTTCTGTTCAAATTTATTATTAACACAAAATTCTATTCTTTCTCTATATTAATTATAAACACACAACTGTGTTTTTTCTCCACAGTGAGGTCGACATGTATGTTATCACATGTATCTTGACATACTGTAACTAGCAGTCTTAACGCAAAACATCTCCACATTTAAAATTAATAAATTATTCTGTTCCTTCTCCATGTTTATTTAGCGAGTTCTTACAGCTGAATACATAGACGGTGTGAAGATTAACAACTTAGAGGGAATCAAAAACTACGGACTGAGTATCAAAGATGTGAGTATTACACTGGCAGTTTCATGTTAACTGTAACATCTTTTGCTTCTTTCTATGCCGGTTGGAGCATCAATCCTCATCTGCCTCAGACCAACTTCTTTGTAGACTTGTTTGTCAGTTTGATTTTGCTGCTAAGAAATACTTTATTTATTGAATTTAGTTCTACTTTTTGTATTTTGGGAGTAACTTTGACCTTTTGTTCTTTTTACTTTATTATTAGGTTATTATGATTGAGGATTTGTGTGGCACTTTCCTATTTTTAACATTTATATAAATTATGTTTTCTCATGCACATGTTTTAATTTGCTCGGTCTTTGACAAAGATGATCTGAATTAAACATCAGAAGACTTTATTGTGTTTTAACACACTGGCTCGTTTATAAATGTACACACATTTGTTTTTTAAATGTTCACACTATTTTAGCAACCATGACTTGGATGACTGACTTCAAGACGAAACATTATCCCTTTCCCTTTCGTATTGAAGGAAAATATATTAACACAAAGGCTTGGCAAATAAAAAAAAAATGGCAAGCAAAGTCTGGACCACGTGCATAATGTTAACCACGTCACATGAAAGAAGTGACAGTATTTGGTATAAAGTTGACATGTATTTTTTTAAGCCCGTTTATCCTTGTGAGCTTGAAAAAACATCAAACATCAGTAACTGCTGCATTTAGGGAATTTCCCAAAAATTCCGGAAAGAAACCATTTTCACATGTTGCAGGAAAAATTGAATAACAGGCCAAAACACCTATCAGTATGATACAGTTGAAGGGGAGTTATCAGTTAAAGTGAATGCAGCAGAGAATTAACAACTAACATCTCTTTGAGTCTTGAATAACAGTTATAGCTTGACAGTTACTGAAACCAGTAACCCTGTAACCCTAGACCAGGGCTATTCATCTGGTGGCCCGCAGGCCAAATCTGGCCCGCCGAGTCTTGCAGGTGACCTATGGATCACTGCCACTTGGGAGATCAGGTCTCTGGCCCATGATGATCTTGTTTTTCAAAATTGGGGCCCTCGAGTAAACTTAGTTAAATAGCCCCGCCCTAGACTAATAGGGAAAAATTTTGCATCAGAATTTTCATACATAAAGCCATTTTTTAAATGAAGGAACTCGTCTAAATGTTATTTTTGGTATTTTTTAATCATTCACAGAACTGCTGAATGTTTGCGCAGGCGTTAACGAAATAAATTCTATAAATAATTATGCTTCTCATAAACCAGCTGCTAAAGTTAGCTGAGAACAGACCTGGGTGCTTTATTAATATCCTACCCCAAACAGGGGAAGTCCACAGGTCATGGAACAGTCTAATATTTCAGGGGGTGGTATGTAGGCTGCACACAGACGTGGGACCTAGGCTACATGCATTCATGGGACGTAGGCTGCACTCTCTCGTTGGGTTGGGTTTAGGACCAGTTCTAGATGTTTTAAAGGTCGTTAAAAGCATCAGAAAGCCGGGAAACCCAGTCTTACCACCCTCTAAAATGTTGGACTGTCCTGTGACATCTGGGGTAAGATATTAATAAAGAACCCGGACCTGTTATTCGGAAATGGCACCAGCCGGAAGTAGTACTGGGTTAGGGGTCTGACAGGGCAGCAGTGTTAACATGGAACTCCTGTGTTAACCAACCAAAGCATGTTCAGTTTGATTTTATTGCCTCAGTCAGGCAGCTTTTACTGATGTCTTTTTCTTTCTTTTTTTCAGGTGGATCAAAAACTGGTGAAGTCTTTCTCAGATCAGATCTTTTTATCTGGTTTTGTACATGCGGATCCCCATCCAGGCAATGGTATTCAGTTTTGTTGTTCTGTTGTTTTCCTTATCTATTTCCTGACTTTGGTCTTGCTTCAGAACTTGAATTTTGTGTGCACATCTGTTTTACAGATCCTGCTTATTTTGTTTGCAGACGGTTGGTTCCTTGCCTGTCAGGCAGAGGCACTCTGACCATAATAAGTAACCTTTTACGTCATACTTGTTAGGGAACGGTGGGTTTATCTCTCTCACCCCCCCCCCCCCCCCTCTGTGGGACCCCGGAATCCGCACAGGAAAGGAAGACACTTATACAAGCTCTGTTTCTCTCATGATGCTGGAATAGGGGGTCTCTATGGTGAAGTGGTTAAACTATTTACCTCATGTTTTAAAGGTCGTGAGATAAAAAGGAGACTTCGGTTCATAAGCATATGGAAATCACTGGGGATCATCATTTATGCTATGGAGTTGTACTTTTTTCAAGACCCTGAGTGTGGAGGGAAGGGGGGGGGGAGCAGTTGTGCTGTGCAGAGGGAGATCAAGCATTATGAAATAAAAATCTGGTACAGTGAAATCAATCTTCTCACCTTTATCATCACCCTTGAAGATGTTGGAGTGTAAGATGGAGTCATGGTTGCCATAGTGCACTGATTATGACTTCATCATTATCATTTCTGCCTGGAAATGTCACATTCTGAGCCAAATGACTGTCAGGGACCTACTTTACTGCGTGTCCAGCTGTGAACTCAGGCCGGGGGACAAAAAGCTTTGTCCGAGCTGGTTGGAGGAGAGTCGTGGACTGAGACGGGACGAGACACTGTCCAGTTATTTGAGGAAAACAGCAAGATAAAAGTCTGCAAAGTTTAAAACTGTTTATATTGAGATGAATGAAAGTCAGTTGGAACTGGATGTGACATTCAAACTTTATCATTTTCAGTATTTGGACAGCTACACCCCCCCCCCACCTCCCTTTTTTTTAACAGCATAAGACAATCCCAGTCGGCACAAAGTTAGTTGTGTATCCTTTATAGGACGTTGCAGAACCAACACCAGCATTTTTTTTGCTGTTATGGTTTTTTCTAGGCAAATTTATGTTTAGTAGTTTGCCATTGCTTTCTAAAGTGTCAGCACTATGTACGACTGTCAAAACCAACAAAAGACAAATCGTCTGCAGCTGGGATTGAACCTGGCGCCCCAGAATAAGAAGCACGTTCACAACACCTAAGCCACGGATGCGGACATCACAAAGAAACATCTATAAAAAGTATATTCATTCCCACCCTATGCTACCGGTGCTGGACATGGTCACACAACAAATTATAAAATAAAATTAGAAACATAGAAATGAGATTGATGAGAAGGGCTGCATGAATGACCAGAAAAGATCAGACCAGAAATAAGGTCATTAGAGAAAAATTAAGCACAGAAACAGCTCTAAATTACATACAAAGACAGCAAATCAAACAGTTTGCCCACTTAGAGAGAATGCCTTGTGATGCTATAGCATACAAGGCATACACTAAAAAAAGGAGAATTATGTACAGCACAAGGTAGACCAAGAACTTGATAGAAAGATAACATCAGAGAAACTATAACAGCACGTTGTATCTATGGCTAAGGTGGCTAGGAGAGCAAGAACCTTATATCTCCATCGACACCCAAAGTGGTTAAAGAGGAAGTGAAGAAGAAGAAGAGGAGGAGTTCATCATCTTCCATGCTTCCTTTTAGATGTTTTCTAAGCCATCAGTCTTATCATATGACCAAAGAACACTGTAACTCTAATAAATTTGGAAGGAAAGATATTGGTTGACTTTGTTTTAACCTCATGTATTTTGGTTATGCGATCAGTTAGTTCACAGCCGTCACCATCTATATTAACTCATACCGTGTGTTTGATTGGATGCAGTGTTTGTCCGTAAAGGCCGTGACGGTAAAGCCCAGTTAGTTCTGCTAGACCACGGCCTCTATGACAACCTGCAAGGAGAGCATCGCAGAGCCCTCTGTCAGCTCTACAAAGCCATCATCATGAAAGATGAGGCGGCCATGATTGAAAATTCCAATAAACTGGGAGTGAAAGGTATTCGACAACATATTCATCTTACACATTTTCATGTAATAAAATCGTTGAGTCTCAAAAAGGTGTACAAAGTCAAGTAGTTAGTAAAGGACTTTTATCATGCCATTGACACATAGGAAAAGTGGTGCTGTACCCCTATTTTTGTAGACATAGGGCCTTGTTGGGTGATGTCGGCAACATTACCCTGGTCACCTTTACTTCCCAGGACATGTCCTAGTACCTTAGTACAGACTTGAACCCAAGACAGTTAAGTCTACAGACAATCATCTAGCTATCATACTGTTGAAGCTGCCAATCTTTGCTAGCCTGCTTTATGAATGACCTGAGTCGGTGGATCCTCTTTGTTCTCACCAGAATAGGACTGCATATTACATCTGGATGGTGTAACCTTTTTGGGTGCCTTAATTATGACTTATTTGGAGATTCAACAGGGTTTCTTGTTGGTTTGCCGTCCAGATTGAGATTTGTTTATCCCAGGATGGTATGGTAAACCTTTAGTTAGCAGCTTGGAGGAACCATGGCGGAGCGGCTGGATGCTCGCCTGTGAATCTGAAGGTCATGGGTTCACTCCCTGGTGGAGCCAGACTTTTTTTTCAAAAAGACCTTGGCTCCCAGGTCCAGCCTTAAGTGGGTACTGGGTGCAGTCCCGGGAAGTAAAGGTGGCCATTGTGATGCTGACCACATCTCCCTTCTTGTGCCGTGTGGTCTATAAAATATAGGTCTATCCCTATATGCCTAAAGGCGTGGAAAAGGGTTCTTTACTTTTCTTACTTACTGGAGGAACCAACTGTCTGATTGTTCATCCTCTTTGTCCTAGTATTTTATCCTTTATCACACTCTTTGATATTTCTTTGTGTCTTAGTTTCATGTGCCAGACTCAATTTTAAGAGGGGGGGGGGGATAGACTGACTGACTCCCAACAAGCAGCATGTTTTAAACAGAGACTTATTGGGGTGTGTTGATATTGGATGTGTTGATACAGGTACCCTTTTAAGGGCAGCTGCAGAAAAAAGGATCTCATCTATATATATTATCACTGAATTTAGATCAAAATGCTGCCAGTTTGCCACATGTTCAGTTGTATTTAGGATTTCGCTGGCAAAAGGAGAAAACACAATTATGATGTCATACACAGGGTTTCTATTTTGCCATATCTTTTGTGATACACATGTTGTTTCTTTCAATATTACTAAAATTACTGTATAATTTAACAATACATATTTCTGCATGTATAGTTGCATGCTACAATTATGTTATTTTGGGAATGTTATTGGAAAGTGCACTATGGACTCACAAAATGTAACTCTCGCTAGGACCACAAGACTAACAGAGAGGAAGGATCCAGACATATTCAGAAATGACAAAATCACACACAGTTAGGGACAGAAAGCTCGCATAACAAACCATTTAAGCCATTAAATTTGATGCAGATAATAACAGACCATAATTATAACCAAAGCTGTCTTCAGCAGAGTTAAACATAGTCACATGTGCCTCCTACCCAATTATCTCAACAACAAATAGTGCACTAACCTGCCAAACATTGATCCTGAATTCAGATTTCACACAAGGATTTGTGTATGGCTCCTGGGTTGACCTCCGCCTCAATTGATCTGTAGCAGAAATATTCTTTCCAGTATCAGCTGGTTTGATCTTAGCCACATAATACACGGAGAGCCCTTTGGGCAAGAAAAAATAGACCTGGCACCATTTACGTTTGTGGGTCACATTGAATGGGAATTTTAAACTAAACAAGTTTAAGAATTTAAATATCTAGGAAGTAAGATGGTTGGGGCATACATATAGAGAGAGAATGGCAGATAGCAGAGATTTAAAAGCTGTGTGGAAAAAAGAAGAGTTAAATGAGAAAAGCCATGAAACACACCAACAAGATGGCGTAGAGACCTACAATTACTTGACATTACCAACTGGAAAGAGAAAGCCAGTCACTGAGATGAATGGAAGCGGGTAACTACAGCATTAAATCTCAGGGGGCTCAGAATGAAGAAGAAGAATAAGAAGAGCAGAGAGGGAAATTGAATAAGACATAAATTCAAATGCATTTACATACTCACAGTTATTAAGACATGCAAACAGATTCAGATTTAAAAATTCACATTGATGGAGTTTTATACCAATGACCGCCAGGACATCAGACCAGTGGACAAGCCATCGAACTACCAAAGCTTCCCATGGAGTTCTTTATCTTTTACATCCTGGAAACAAATAAATGCTGAAGAAATAGGATGTGTCGCCAGAAAGGCACAAGTATCACAGCTGTGCTGTAAATGGACACAACACAACTGCATCCTAGGAACAAAAACAAAAAAAAACCCAGTAGAAATGTCTTTACAGGACTGCATGAACTGATGTTGTTCTTCATGTAATCCTTGTCTCATCTTGTTTCCATTTCCCGCCATTCTGTGGTACAGATTCTCTTATACTTGCCATCATGATCATGCAGAGACCTGTAAGAATGAAGACACAGCAGTTGTTTGACATTAAACCACCCTCTCGCGAGGAATGGATGGTGATGACTAAAGAAGAAAAAGCAGTGTGGAGGGAAATGTTTCAGGAAATTCATGACAGAGTACTAAATGTCATGAGAGACATGCCTTCACCTCTGTTCTGGATATTTCGGTAGTATATTCTGTTCATGAAATTTAAATCTCAATGGATGAGAGGATTGTTCCATATCTGGTATAGATTTTTTATTGCAGTGGAAATTTGTGGGTTTGAAATTACATTATAAAAGTTTAAAATTAAATGTTAAGGAAATGTTTTGAAATAACAGCCATGACAATAATTTCCTTACAGATACAAGTCTTGAGTTTTGGCCTTTGTTAAATAAATAATAAAAAAAAATTGGCCCTAAATTCTGATGCATAGAAATATTCCCCCAGTACACTGGCCTCTCATCCTTTGTGAGTTAATCAGCAGTGAAAGTAGAATCATGGACAATGAAATTTGAGCATGGGCCCCATTTAAACTCATTCATTATTTAAATAATTTCTGTTGTGCAGGTTGCATAGATAAAACTTTTTTTTTTTTACATTTTCCATCTGTCGGATGCCAAAACTTATCTTGTCTTTGATGATATTTCTGCAGACTATGAGCTTTTCTCTGAAATTCTGCTTCAGCGGCCTATCAAACGTCAGTCCATGTATCTTCCAACGAGAATGACCCATGCTGAACTTGAGTATATGAGGCAAATGGCGCAGAAACATTTTGATAAGATCATGGCCATCCTTAGAGAAATGCCTCGCCCATTTTTACTTGTCATCAGGTCTGTTTGATAGGTTTTGTTTTCTGTACATGCTTTGTGATTGTGTCAACAAAAAGTCTTAGATATCTCAGATTTTGGAGGATAGTTGGCACCATAATGGTAGATTTGTTGTATCTGAACTCTTCACAGTAGAAGTTATTAATGTTTTGACTCTAGGTGATATAGTATTCTACAGTTTTAATGCTTTTACACAATACTGGAAAAGATATTTTTTGCTATAATAAGGTACTGTACTTGTGATCACATAAGATTGAACTAACGCTAGTAAAGCAATGCATAATTTTTTTCCCCTGATAAAATGTGAAATGTGTTACACGTTTTATGGTAAATTTATTGTATCTGCAATTTTCATGTTTGTTATTTTGTAACACAGATATATGAATGTATAAAGAAATTTGCTGAATGGGCTTTAAATCCACATTTCATTAAGAGAAGAATGGGTAGGGATTACAAAGACATTTGTATACTGTTAGGAAAGGGACTGTAAATATCTTGAATGTTGCCCATTTCAGTTACCATTTTTCTTACTGAAAACCTTATTTCTGAAAATTATAATGTTCTCCCATCTTCTGGATTAAATACTTTGTAGTGTTTTATGTGTCCAGTGGATATTATGGATTTTAGAATAATATTCTTGGTGTTACTTATCATGTACTACAAGTATTTATAAATAAATAAATTATAAGATAATCATTTAGTCAGTCAATTAACTTTACATATATTAATATATATCTTTTGAAGTCTATGATTCTAACTTCAAAGCTTCTGCTTTTACATTTAATCTAGCTTCATATAATAATACCTTTGTTGATGCTGTTCACTGCTCACACGCCTGCACCATTTGGTAAAGCACGTGATGCTGATGTCCATATACAATTGTTGAAGTAATAGTGTTCAGATTTTGTTCATGTAACAGCTAGCTGGAATATGTCTCCCACATGGAGGATGGCTGTAATCCATAGGACCTTCTGTATGTGAACTGGAAACAGGGAATAGACCTACAGGAAGGCCAAAGCTACGTTATAAAGACTTATGCATATGTGAACTGTTAGATACCAATAGAGACTTGGGAAAAATTGGCTGCAGATCAGCTACTATTGTGATAAAAAGTGAAAGACGAATTGTAACATTTTGAAAGAAACCAAACGCAGCGAGCTTTACAGAGGGGATGCTGGAAAGAAAATCAGCCTCATAGCGAGGGAGTATCTATTTGGGACAAATGGAGTTGTGGTAATTGTATCACTAAAGAAAGTTCAGTGATACAGAGTCACGACAAAATATCACTCATTCACAATCTACAGACATTCATGTCTTCTTCTTCAACATAGTGAACCTTTGTCTTCAGATATCAGGCACCTCCTTTCATCTCTGTGACTGACCTTGTCTTTCCAGCTGGTGACTCCAAGTGTTGTATATCTGCTTGTATAATATTTCTTTACTGTCTTCTTGGTCTGCCTCCTGGTCTACCTCCATTCAACTTGTTTGTGTACACAGATTTTGTTTCTGTTGTCTGTCATTCTCACTGTATGCCACAACCATCGCAGTACTTTTGCCCTCATGATGCCAGTAATTAGTAGTGTTAAAATGGATTGTAAATTTCTTTGTTGCTTCTCACTGGACATTCTCAGCTGTTTGCATCTTTAGTGGATCCAAAGATTCATTTTAAGACATGTTCTCAACAGTTTGTAACACAACAAGAGTGTCACTGATCAGAATGAAAAAGTAAAAATCTGGCTGTCCTAGTATCCAGCTTCTTTGGAAGTAGTAATATTTCTGGCTTTTTCTAGTGGTTATTTATGCTGTTTGGCAGCCGCTATGAAACCTTCCAGTACTCAAAGAGATAATAATAGCCAATAATTTTCAAAACATTATACTGTTGGTAATGACTTCAGCTTTTTAACTCCAGTTGAAGCATATGCCGTCAACCATGTCATCTTGATATTTTTTTGACTTGTTTATAATTGCTTGGATTATGCAACGAACGTTTTCAGCAGTATGACACTCTCCTTAGTTGCCAGTTAGAAAATATATTGTAGTGTTACACTGGAGTGTTATTCATATCTTCCATTATGGGAGCCTATAACATCTGAGTTAGACATGTTGACTTAGCTTTCCTTTGTTATTACTGATTTTGACATGTAGTGTCATTGTTTTCAGAAATCTGAACATCATTAGAGCCATCATCCGTGACCATGGTAACACAGTGGATAGATATGGCATCATGGCGAGAAGGTATAATATAAATGTGTATGTCTTATATTTGACAGCTTTCCAGCCAGTTGTTTATATGATTTAGTTAAACTAGAGGATCCCATTGTGAAGTCATTCAGCTGTGTGCCACATGTTCTGAAGGTTGTGGGTTTGGTTTCAAACTCATTTGGTTCACAGTAGGACAAAAGTATGGCAGAGGAACAAGCCCCTTAAAGGCTGATGACATCCTCTTGTACCGACAGAGCAGAAACAGAGCTGACATTGTCTGCGAGGAATTAGACTGAAAATCATCCTGATGCAGTATCTCAGTAGCAATAACTAATTCACCCAGAGGGACAGTCACCTAGTTCTCACTGAATAACCACATTATGAAAACACCAACGCCAATGATAGAACTATGTGGCAGTGACTTAGAGAGGTACAACTCTGAAATACCTAGGTGTACAATTTGATGCTCACTGAATACCACCTTGCAAAAACACCAACGCCAATGATAGAACTATGTGGCAGTGACTTGGAGAGATACAACTCTGTGAAATACCTAGGTGTACAATTTGATACACGCTTATAATTTAAAGAACAGGTAGACCACACTGTTACCAAGGCCAAGAAGGATCTATCGGCTGCTGTGAACAACTGCTGTTTGTGATTTCGCAGAAGAGATTAGTCCTTTCCACCACTGAGTGTGCACTGGTCACCATGACACTTAGTGGCATACAGATAAAATGACTGGACGAGGCAGTGCCGGCTATTCTTGGGTTCATCTCCTGCTAATCAGTGTAATACCTTTTGGACTTTCCCACAATAAAAAACAGACTAAAACTTTCTAGAGCAACCGCTGAAATCAAAACCATGGCACCCGTTTCATCATGAAGAGTTCAAGCCTAAAAAGAACAGATACAAGAGGCAAATGGGCCATCCAGATGTGTCATCTTCCAAACATTAATCTAGGAAATGAATGGGTGCATTTACTTGTTACTTCAGAGATAATCATAGTTTATACTTTCTGTTACTTGATTAAAAAAGTTTATATCAGCATTGACAGAAACTGCAGGGAACAGATTTCTGGCATAGTGGACGCTTAAGTCAAAAACTGATTGATGAGAACACAAGGGCTCGAAATGCTGAAGAAGAAGAGAACGATTCTGTTATGAGTGCTCTTTATTTTCCTTCTGAACGTGCTTATTTGTTGTGCATAAATACATTTTATTGTGTCTGCATTTTTCATTGCTGTGTGTTTTTCTTGTGATCCCTTAGTGCGGTCAAAGGTTGCCATCAAGATGACCCGGCCAACAGTGGTGTGCTAAATGTGCTGAAGTCCTGGTGGTCTCGGTGTGCCTTTGACTATCATATCTGGAGAGACAATTTCACACACAAGCTGTTCATGTTTGCCGCTGTCACTTACCTTCAGTTGCTTCAAATGGTTGGCAGGGCTCCAGCGATGGAGGAAATACAATCTTTTGCCAGAGTAGAAGAGAAGAGGTAAGTAAGGTATTGTGAAAAATACAACAGAAATTTACAAAATGAGAAATGGGTATAGCACTGAAATGTTTATATTAGGAAATTAAAACTTGTACTGAACTTAGAATACTTAACTTTAATGTTAAATCATTACTGCTGCATGAAGTAGAAATATGGAGAATGACCAAACAATTAATAATAAACTACAAACATTCATTGACTGATTCCTGTGTAGAATTTCCTTCTTATAGTCCATAAGATGAGGTGTTGGTAGTCATGACTTTCCACAACCTTCTGTATCATGTACTTTCAGTCACTTCTGACTCAGATGATCTTCCATGCCATGATGTCAGACTGTTCAACATCTACTCGGTCCCTTTGCCTCTTTTCCCTTCCGCCTTTCCCACCGTCACGATTTACTCCAGTTTTCTCATGACATGACTGAAGAATGTAGATTGTCTCCTTCTGATGTGGGCAATCAGTTCTTTTCATGAATCATCTTTCTTTCCACAAATCTCAATTACTTTTTTCATCTGCCCAGGGTTTTATCCTTATTCATCTATAAAATGACATCTCTGTTGATCCAAAATAATTGTTTCACTTATCGTCGAACTCTCCATGATTCACTTTTGTGAAGAATATAAGGATTCAAATGGTATGACAGAATCATTAATGTGAAGTGAGGTGGCCAGTTTCCTTGCTTGTCATGTTTCGTTCTCAGACAGTTCTCAGACAGTTCCCAGAACATTCTGGAAATGATCTGGTACCAGTTTTTACAAGGTGTGTTCAGCCCTCAAAAACATTTCTGCTGATTTTGGTGATTGAACTCAGACCATTGTGTCATCAGGCAAGAGCACTAACCACTATTTTACTACAAATCCCTGTTAGGCAATTATACTCTATATATGAGAAACGTTGCCATGGTTGCAGATTACTTGCCCTTGTATCACTTGTTGGATCCATCAAATAGGCAAACAGTGAAGAATGGTGAGTGGGAAGCAACAATGAAATTAATTATCTGTTTAAATCACCGCTAATTACTGGCATAATGGGGGCTAAAAATGTAAAATCACAGAGAGGCAAAACTATGTAAACAAAATAATTGAATGGGAGTAGACCACAAGGCAGACCAAGAAAATGGTAGGGTTATAATGTGCATGCAGACCTAAAAACATCTGAAGTCATCAACTGGATAGAAAAGGCCAGTCAGAGAGATGAATGGAGGCAGGAGATGTTTGCAGCAGTGACCCTCTTTGCTGAAGAAGAAGTTGTATTTTCTTCTTGTGGCTAAATGAACAGTGAAAGTTTACATGTATAAGTCAAAGCTTATACACAAACCAATTATATAGATATGCCATTTGCAGCTTTTGTCAATTATTTATTAAATATTTTTTTTGTCTATAGATTTGATGCACTGTAAAAGACGGGAAGAGAAGGGAGCCAGAATTGCATGTTTGTGTGAGGTAGCGCTGTTCTGTGACTTAGTGGTTAGTGAAAGCAACAGTTTTATGATGGACAGTACAAAGATCAGCTATCATGGGTTTTTCGGACAGTGGTGCAAGAGTCCAATCTGGGGCATCACCACCTTCCTTGCTTGCTTTGCGAAAAAAATTGTCACGTTCAGCCAGCATACCCGAATTGGGAGCTTTTGATTAAAATTGTGTCTAGGTAATTGGCACCATATAAAATGGTTTAACATTGCTCGCCACCAAGTAGCCCTGAAAAGGACTCCTGCATTGTTGATGCGATTAAAGGAGACAGATCTAAAGGCTGTCCCGACCTGCGACAAAGTCGTCTACCAGCCAGCCAGTGGGTGACCTGGTCACCGATGCCTCACCTCATAATATTCCCAAGGACAGCAAATAAAAGTCTTTGGTGTAACTTTAATATTTTTCTGATGTTAATCTATATATGGGTAATTGGAAGATCCCAATATTGACACAGACACTTGGGAGAGATCAGCTGCAGACCGACTCCTATGGAGGCAGACAGAAAGAAGGACTGTCACATTTTGCAAGAGGACGAATTCAGCAGGCTATAGAGAGGAGAATTTTGAGAGAACACCAGCCTCAGTTTAATAGAGTATCAACATATTTTATGCAGAATTTGTGGCAGAGACTGCTTGCTACTCCCACATTGGACTATACAGTCATAACAGATGCTGTTTCCAAAACCAGCGGTGTACCTCCATGATTCTTAGGGACTGACAGTGCGTACTCATAGATTAGAAATGACTGTTATACGATTAGTTTAGGGGCTTACACATCTTCAGGTGTTTTAAGTATATGTAAGTCTCATATTTTTGCAGACAGATTGGCACTCTGTGAGTGATGTCAGTATTTCAACAGCTGTTTTTTAATCCAAAAATATTTATTGTTACCATTTTTAGACTTGGCTTCCTGGGAGCAGTGTTTATTCTAGGAAATCTACCCGAACTTGTATTTGAATCTGGGTTAGTTCAACGAAAGTCTCCCCATTACTCACTCTTACACACTAACTCACTTCTAATTAGTCGACCTGGAGCCACCTGACCTTGGCACAAGGTGACGGGAGTGTTCCCTAATGCCGTTGATGTTGCATGTTCTATATTTTAGCATGTCAGCGCTTTTAACACTCCAAAAGCATCGACAAACTGGATCTAACACAAAACCCCTCCAGAGGGAGCTGCATTCACAGGCATTCTCTTTCTCTGAAGAAAAACGTAATTGCAAGACATCCCAGAAAGCAAACAACAGATCGGCAAACCCGTAACTCTCACGAAAGTAGACCAGTTCAAACAAGTTATCAATGGAACGTGACCTACTTTCTCTGGGGAGACTGATGTTGAACTACATCGAATCTGACCACTAGGTTGTCAGTCAAACCTTGCTACCACTGCACCTCACAACTGCTGTTCATGACTTAATACCTATTAATGTAAAACCCAATGAATAGTAGTAGGCCCATAAAATATTGGTCCAGTGCCACAGGCTGAAGCACAATTGATATGAAAACAGCCCTTTGTGTTCACTTTACTAAAAGTGGATTTTAGTGAAGGGATTTCTTTTACAAGTGCCAGATTTAAAACAGTAACATGTGATCAGAGCTCTGTCATCTTTTGTTTCTCTTGCTGAGTTGTTTTCTCTATTAAAGCTGATTTCTCTGTTCTTCTTCTCTTGCTATGGTAAAAGACCATTCTCACACCAGTGGTCTGTAGGACATATGATGCTAGACCTATAGTTTTATAGGCCAAGGGGCACTGAATGGGTTGTGTGGTCAACATCACACCGGCCACTTTTACTTTCCATCATATTTCTTTGGTGCTCATTTCAGACCAGGTCTACTGGGAATCCAGTGATCAATTTTGAAGTCCTTTCCAATGCATAATTTTAACACAAGACCTTTAGGCTGACAGCAAGCATATCTTGAAATGTCTGTATATTTTATGAGCTTCCTCTGTGTAGTTTTCAAGAATGATATATTTAACCCTATCCTCATTGTTTCGTCACATTAATGAAGAGTTTAAAAAGTCTATACATGATGTGAATTTGTTTATCTGCTTGGATACTATGTATAATTCATGTAAATTTGTGTGTTACTATTATCTTTTATATTCTTATATAATGTTTTGTAGTTTAATTTCATGTCCTGACTTCTGTATGATAATTGGGGAATATATTTACAAATAAATTTACAATTTTTGTAAAAAATCAAATAGTCTCTCATGTATTCCCCCCCCCCCCCCCCCAACCTCCACCTCACAGCCTTTTATCACACAAAAAAGCATCTGCCTCCAACCAAAATTCATCACACTCCCCTTTTTTCTGCAAAATTCCTCATATTACTTCTTGTATTCTTTTCTGTTCCTCAGTTTCTGAGAATAATGTGGTTTTAGATTTTCTCCTCTTTCTTTCTCTTCTTTCTTGGTGGGTTCCAGACATATGACTTTCCAGTTATACTATAAACAGGTTTTTTTTCAGTGTTTGTCCTAACAGATTGCACATCTCCACCTTTTCATTTACTAGAATTCCTTTTCTCTCCATTAACTCTGCATTAGTGATTCTGTCTTATATTTTATTCTTTCTGCTCCTTGCAGTCAATGCAGTTTATTAGTAATTGATTTAATCGTTCTCGACTTTAAAAAAAAAATCCATCAGCAATACTGAGAGTAACATTATTTCTTTGATGGCTTCACCAGAAGTCCTTCGCTGCAGGCCTGTTGTTGCCAGTCAGCATTTTGATATTGCTGTTTATTGGATTGCCTGAAATACTCTAAAATGTGTTGTAAAATTCACCCTAAATAGAGTAATTTTCATACTTTGTTAGTTTATGGCACTGGATCACATTCATGTTTGTTTATTTTATTCCTTTCAAATGTTGTTATTGTTCATTGCTTGCCACTCTGTTAGTGCTGTCTCTGTCCCCTTAGATGGCATTAGGACCACTGTTTCAATCTGAAGTTGTTTTCCTAAAACTTGAGTATACCTATCATCTTATTGGTTTACCCAACACTTATAGTGGTACACATTTTATAATTATATAATGCTGAATGATAAGTTTCTCAGTTAGTTTGTCACATTTAACAATTGTACATTACTCATGCACATTACAGTTTTTACAGTGGCACAGATTTTATGACTGTGTAAGTTATATAACACTTAGTGATAAAGTACTCTATTGGTTTATTATGTTTAGAGATTTGTATATTAGAAGTATATTTTGTTGTCAGGGAAGACATATTAAATGAACAGTTCTTTGTAAAAAAAAAAAAAAGATTAAAAAACCAAATTTAAAACAATGACATAGAATCATGCTAAAATGAATGTATGCGGCGAAACATTGAGAAAAAGGTCTGTGAATTGTGAGATCTCTGTGCGGGTTGTCAAACCTTTTTTGTTTTTTGTTTTGTTAAGAATTGGCTCACTATCTCCTAACACATGTTGTACGGATTTGCTGAAACTGAATGTGTTGCTTCGAAAGGTCCGCCACAGTGTAGCAACCACTGGTTCCAGGGCAACTGAACAAGAAGAATTGTGATAGAGTTCTGTGAGTTGTTATGGGAAAATTGAGAGACATGATATATATATAAGTGTGTGTCTGTGTGTATGTTAAAACTTGCATTTGTGGGGTCAGTAAAGAAATGAAAGAAAAATACAAGGGGTTCGCCATGTCTTTGTCCTGATTATGGAGGAAATGCCGTGAAGAATTGATATTTTGAGTCGAAACTCTGATACAATTTCTGCCTAACTTTTGGAATAAAACACCATATTGTTCGACTATACCATTTATACAGGTCAGTATGACTTTTCCTTCATTACTTTGTCAGATTTGAGAAAATTATAAAGAAATCGAATGTGAAAAATGTGGTGTGCTAGGATCTCAGTACTGGTGTTCTTGGCTGCTAGTTGCACAAACTGTGCTTTATGAGACGGTTTGTTGTCTTGAAGCGCAGGGAAATTTACAATGGATGCTTTTCTTAATTTTTTGGTTACACCTAGTTTAGTTTTATAAGGTGTTCATAATGCTGTCCATTAACCTGTTGCCATGCGGCAGGAAATCTTTCATGTGAACATTGTTAATATCTCAAAACAGGCCAGCATAATTTTTCCTTCAGATTTCCTTGGTTCTGACTTTTCAAGTATTAAAAAGTACACCAGTTTCTATTATATGCGGAGGATCCGAATGTTGAAATAAAATATCATCTACCTTGGTCATCAAAATGTTTTCTGACTGGCATTTTTTTTAGCTGTTGTCAACAGATTATCTTCTGTACATGTGTAAACAAACACAGCACCCTGTAGACACACTATATTTTCCTGATTAGTCTGTTGTGTAACATTCTACTACCTTATTTTTTCACTCAGTTTTACTGCCATTATTTGTTTAATCCGGGATTTTCTTAAACATTGCTTCATTGCCATTAGTGCAGCCTGAGGAGGGTTTATGCAGTGTTGGCAGACCAATATTTGACTGGCCATATTTAAACTGCCTGCACCATTGCCAGGCATATTTGGCTGTTTCTGGTTGAGTATGCAACAGAGAGACATGAATGAAGCACTGCAGGTTTATCCTTAATCCCTTGTAACACTAAAATGCAATGTGTGTGTCTATATATATATATATATATATATATATATATATATATATATATATATATATATATATATATATATATATATATATATATATATATATATATATATATATATATATAAATAAAAAGTTACAAGGGCCGTTATTTTGATCTTAGCTTCCTAATGTGTTGATGTGTAAACTCCTTAATGTACCTAACCAGGCAAGCTTTAAGATTGTAAGCAATTTCATAATTATAACATACTGAGTGCTTAGTTCAGCTGCAGCAATTTGGCAGCAAACCACTTCATCCTGATTTTTTCAACAGTGTGAGCTTTTTTTTTCTAATTGCAGTGGCAAACTACTAAA